TAATAACACTGAAATTTACATTTGTGATGATCTTGTTCTTTTTAAAACTAGTCAACAAAGTATATTTTATCATAGATGTTATCTTTTATCATAGTCATCAATCCTCATCATCTATTTTATTATATATTTTCTTTCTCACAAATGTATGCTTAAAAGTTTAATTTGAAGACATAATATCAAGCTTATTTTAATATGTTTTTTTTCTAGAAACATTTCTATTATATTCTATGTAAAATAGTCTCTTTGATAATAGTTATAAATTAATTCAAATGAATTCATTTGACATATAGTTATAATGTATTTATCAGCGCGAAAGAATCGCAGGCAAATATATTACCAGCAAATAGATGTACAGCATTTTCTAAGTGAATATTATACAAAGCAATTCCAACTAAATTAGGATAATTTGTAGAAAGAAGAATACGTTCCATCGATGATGATTCAAGATCAAGCCATTTGACTTTTTGATGAATTTTAGATAAGATATGTGAACAAAAACGATCAAGTACTAAATCAGATAATGGATAAGCAAAATATATTGGAGAATACATTTGCAAAATTAAACGACTTGGTACAAAATTTGCCAAAGTCAAACGATTGGTAAAAATAGAGTCATGTACTATTTTATTTAAACGTATATTAACATCTGATAAAGAATAAAGTAGTGTAATATTATGTAATTTTTTAAAAATCATCATAAGAATTTCATCAGGTAAATCATTCAATTGAACAGACGAATTTTCCATGTTCATCTTCGCTTGTCTATTCTTTTTCATCTATAAATGTCGATATTTATAGAAATAATCATATGTTCTGTTTGACCGATGTCGTCAATAACAACAATAATTTTTTTTTTCTATACTCTTAGAGGCGAAATAGACTAGACGAAATAAAACTGAATTAAGAAATGTGATTCGTGTTTTTTTACGTAGCAACACCAATCACATTCCTTAATTCAGTTTTTTTATTTCGTCTAGTCTGTTTGGGGCCTTAATGAACAATGAGGGTGTGAGTGTGAGTGTGGGTGAGTGTGGGTGTGGGTGTGGGTGGGGTGTTGGTGTAGGTGGGGTGTGGGTGTGGGTGTGGATGGGTGTGGGTTTGGATAAATTTAAGATTAATACCCACGCACACAGCCACACCCACACCCACCCACACCCACCCACACCCACCCACACCCACCCACACCCACACCCACATCCACACCCCACACCCCACACCCCCACCCACACCCACCCACACCCACCCACATCCACACTCCACACCCACCCACACCTACCCACACCCACCCACACCCTCTGTGAAACTGCTCTATTGCCCCCTTTATCATAAATTGCTAGTAACATGTGTGAAAAACAGAATAGAAAGAAAAACAGTAGTTATTCTTCCATAAAATGTGTAAGAATATTAGCGGTTTTTCCCTCTTTTTTTAAGTTTTAGACGCAGAAAACTTCTTCAAAATTTCGCTTAGAGCCCTGAAAAATTGTTTCCTGTAGGTTTGACGACGCACTCGTTTATTTGGACAGGTTAAAAAAATTTTTAGTAAAAATTGTGTTTTGGTTGAAAAACCAACATCTTTAAGAAACGGGTCTTTAAATCGAAAGCGGGCAAAAACCATTGTGATATTCGGAATCAGCACGTTCGATTACTTATTGCTAGATGAGTTTCAGCTCAAAAGTGAGGGAGCAGTTGGTGGCCTTCCCTCGTAAGAGCGATATTATCAAACCGATCGATCACTTGACAATATTCAGTTTCTATATTCGTTAGTTCGTTCAACTGATCTCTTTACTATATCAATCAACATTATGAAGACTTCTCAATGGAAATTTACGTGATGTTCCATAAGATGTTCAGTAGTCAACTAAAAAGTTTTCTTTTAGTTTTTTTTCTCTTAGTAATTGTACGAGTTCTTTGTCCACATCTATGTGAATAACGTTGTACAAGAACAACACATTTCTTTGTCGTTCTTCTCTTTTACCATGACAATACCAGCTCAACTGTGATGTTGGTGCACGAAAGGAAGAAAAGAATTCTTTTTTTTCTCTGGTTGTTAAGAGAAAAGGCAGCAAACGAGTCCAACATCAGTTTCTTTCTCATTTGTTTACCTATCTGCAACAAGTATTGAGTCGCAATGAGCAAAGAACACGGCACCTTAAAAGTAACTATTGTCGAAGGTCGTCATTTGAAAGATGAAGACATCGTTGGCAAGAACGATGCCTATGTTGAAGTTTACTTGGACAAAGACTACAAACAACGAACGAAAACCATTCGAAATTCAAATAACCCAAAATGGGATGAAAAATTTACTTTGTAAGTTCAGACATCACACTATGAGTTTCAATTAATTGATTTTTTTATTTTATCTCAGTAATTTGAAAAGAGATCATGATGATTTACATCTGCATGTATACGACGATGATACAGTAGGTAAAGATTCCATTGGTTCGGCGAAGATTGATTTGAGAAAACATGACTTCACGAAAGGTGCTTATGATGAATGGGTTAAGCTACCAGCCCTGTTAGGTCTCCGTTCCAAAGGTGAAATCCATGTTATCATTGAACATCATGTAAATAATCTCTTTAATTTCCTCTCTTTTTAAAGTTTAATCATAATGTTTGTTTTGTATTTTAGACGTGAAACACAATTCTCAAAGGGACTCTTTAACTTTATCATTTATAATCTTCTTTTTAAACCAGCATGACTACGATTCCGTGATTAGATTTCAAAGTATCAAAACGTAAAACTTCTAGTTTTTTAGAAATAAATTAACTCATAACTATATATCGCTTTTGATATAAAAAATAAAATGAATGATTTACTACAGTTTTTAAATATCCAATGTTTCGATTTCTCTTTGTGAATGACGTTTATTAGTGTCTGTGGACAGCTAATGTTGCTTGCTTCAACAGCAAATGACCCATGAGCTCAGGCGTATTTTTACTTTAGAAAAAGTATCCAGATGAAAAACGTTGTACCAAAGATAGGACTCTGGAATGAAAAAATTTTTCGTTATGTTAGCCTCAATAATGTTGCGAACATTGACGCTAACCTTCTAGGCTGACGGAATGTTCCTACGCGCTACCTTCTTGAGAGTGAGGGGGAGACTGGCTGCCATGAATGTTTTCAATCCAGCAACGGATCTCATCAGATGGCTTTATTCCCTTTTCTGAAAGAAATGGTTATACGCAGCTTAAAGTTTTGTCTGTCTGTCTGTCTGTTTGTCTAAGCCAATAAGATGAGAGCTCAAAGGTCAGAAAAACAAAAAGTCGAAATGATGACCTAACGCGTGGCCTGTAACTAACACACATCGCGCTTAGGATTCTAATTGGTACGAACAAAGCCAATCAGGTTATTTGAATGACGGGGGGCGGCAGTGATTTCGACCAATCAGATGTGAGAAGGGAGGTGTGACAACACAGTGTATCGTCACCTATATTATCTTTCTCTCGTCGTGTTTTCTCTCTCTTGATTGATCATGTTCGTGCTCATTCTTCTGATTCGCTTGATTATGTTTTGGCGCTTGAGTAGTTGTTTTTAGTGTGTGAGTCGGGTGTGGGTGTGGGTTTGGATAAATTGAAGATTAGTACCCACACCCACACCCACACCCACACCCACACCCACACCCACACCCACACCCACACACCCACACCCACACACCCACACCCACCCACACCCATACCCTTTTTGGACAGGCATTAATTATATGGACATGTTAGCAAGTCATTTGGCATTCGAAATATGAAGATCTATAGAAAGTATAGCAGTTCTAAGCGCCATCTGGTTCTCGGTATTTCTCATTGGTAGATGAAGATTACTAATGGAAAGAAAAGGGTGTGGGTGTGGCGGATGTGTGTGTGGGGCGTTTGTTGGGATCTTGCGTTATACCCGAACTCCCACCCCCACCCACACCCAATAGTGTTCTCAGAACTTTTGGTCAGACCTAAGTATACGGTGTCTGTCGTTCTCTTCTGAAGCTTTTTTCCTTGTAAAAACGGCAAAAAAAAGTTGTATTGTCTCAAACAGACTTCGAAAACTGTTCTTTAGTGATAACCGTCGTTCCTTTCGTCAAACCGTCCTTTCCTTACTGATTTTTCTGGATCCGCCACTGACTGCATAAATACGATCAATTTTGTGACTCTTCCTGCTCAAAGAATAGTGTTTATCTATTTCTTCAACAAGGAACTTTGAAGAAAGGTAGTATCTAATTCTCACTTGAAAAAGAGACTCGGTAGATATCTAGCAAATCGACAGGTTAGTCATGTTGCATGCCTTTCTTTTTAACTGGCAGAGATATGTGCTTAGTCTTCTTATAAATCTGTATAGCTTTTTACTATCTAGCATCTTCAGAGTACAATAAAGTTTCTTGTACCAAATTGAAAACTCTATTATGCATGCAATATTTTAGCCCTTTTAATCTGACACTTGTACATGATAGTCGAAATTCCGATCTAGCGATTCATCTTATCAGTGTCCACAAAAACTTCTGCTTTCAAAATTCTCCTGCTAAATGATTAATGATGGACAAACTTTGCATCTATATCATAAAATCAACGATGAAATTATTTGATCAAATAGAATGATCGAAAGAGAATTCTGGTGATCCTATGCATTGGAAGGGAATGATATTTTCTAATCCATGCTAATCAATTTTGTATATATTATGATTATTTAAGCAATTAATAATGTTTTATTCTCTTTCTCTTCTTGTCTGAAGAAAAACTAATTTTCATTGTCTAAATATCTTCATTTATTTTTCTATATCATTAGATTATAAATGAGAAAAAGACAAAGTTTGATTTTATTTAATAAATGTTAGAAAAAAAAAAGAATTTGAATTATTTCCATTGCAAATAAATAAGATTGCGTAAACGTTCGATTGTAAAATGCGAAAGTAATTTATCTGAGTTGATCATGTCTTGAATATTTTGAATAATTAAATCATCTGCTGTTGAAAATTCAAAACATAATGCACGAAGATGATGATTATCAAATCGATTAATTTTCTTCAAAAAAATCCGTAAAAATGCTTGAATATCTATGAAATTCATCTTTTCAATTCTAAAATATTCCATATATGGACAAAGTGTAAATAGAAAATCTAATTCTTTCATATGATTAATTTCTTCCAAAAAGACTTTCGTAATTTGACTTGTTTCTTTCATCGAACATAAAATAAAAATTTCATCAACAGTAAATTCCGATGTTTCATC